TAACCAAGTATGTATAACACATTTCCTCATGTTATATCAGGTGGTTTTTTTTAAATGTTTTTAAGACCTCCCTTGCTTCAGTGATACTATCTGCCAGTGCAGTGTGGGGCTGTGAATGATCTGAGATCCAGGATCTCCCAGCCCATCAGCTGTTGGTATCCTGTGGTCAAGGCTCAGCTTAACAAGTCCCATGAGACACGACAAACCTTAGTCCTTGGTTACTGGTGCCACACCTGGCCACACCTGGTGTCTCATGTCAAATCCCTGCAGAGCTCCACTTGTCAGTGCTTGTCAGCTCTGCCATCTCGGGACACAGCAAAAAAAAGCAGTTGTCTTTCCAGGCCTAAAAAGAAAAATAAAGATGCGCGCATTTGCTGAGGTTTCAGAAATACTCCTGTATTTTTTATTTGTGTACACATACATGTGTGTGTGCAGGTGTAGGCCTTGTCAGGGACATATTTAATTAATTGGATGACAAGTGGACCACAGTGATCCTGTCTCCTTTGCTCAGAACCAGAGGTACAGACTCCACTCCAGCCAGCAGATCTTTAGAAGCAGCTGGAGGATGGCGCATTGTCCTGTCTGCCTTTGTCATTTCAGCGTGTGAAAGATGGGAAAATCTTTCTACATTTTCTGGAAGAGGTAGAACATCATAGGTTGAGTAGATAAGGTATCAAACACAGGGGTGGTTACCTCACCTAACCAACTGCATCTTGCTGATGGCCTCACACCTTGTGAATTTTTTTAATTTATCTTTCAATGTCTTACCATTCATTTGTCATGTTGACAGGCAATGGACAGCAGAGAACACTAGATACTATTAGGGGGTCACAGAGGCTGAAAGGAAAATGTAGAAAATAGGAATAAATATAAAACTGCTGGTTGGTCTCTAAACATGTAGCTGGATAAATGGTCATTGTGAATATGTTTGCATGTAGAAATACAGCTATTCTGTTGGTGTTAAGCAACTTCAGCTTCAAAGAACAGCCTAAGGCAAAAAGATATGTTTCATTATAGATGAGGAGGAAATAGGTGTTCAAAGGATGTTGACTATTCTTGAACTTAAGAATTCTGATTCAGAGGAAATGTAGATGTATAGAGAAGGGCACAGAGAAGATGGAAGCTATTCCTCTACCTGGATTTGATAACACTTCCTATTAAGAAAACATGCTCAACTATTTTTTTTTAGAAGATTTCAGATGCCCTGTTAGTGTACAGTGGAAACATGTCAAGAGTCAACAGTTTTCCTTGGGTGTCCTCTGAAAGAGCTTGTGAAATGTGAGACAATACCTATTTGGGAAGGTGAGTTACATGAGGACCACCCACCAGGCTTAATCTAAAGGAGAGGTGAAGATGATGTTTTCTGGAAAATTTACAGATAGAGGTATCTGTGTCTTGGTCTGGCAGATGACAGTGTGGTAAAGGAATCACTCAAATCTTCACTGTGTCTTAGAAGGATAAATCTAAATTTTGTCATTTGAAGAAGGGCATAAATAGTATTTCTAGGTGGGCGAAAGTAGACTGCAGAGATAGAAACAGCCACAAGCAAATGCAAAGCCAATGTGTAAAGGTAACCCTAAAACTTGAAGGTATTATGGGAGATGACAGTAAGGAGTTTTCATTATGATTGAATATTAATTAGTGACATGGCTATTAATGGTGACAGTAATTAACAGAGGAAAGAAAGACTTGTCATTGTCCCAAGGGTGAGTAATCAGTCTTGGCAGGTGATAAATAATGGTTCAGCAAGCTCAGCAGAAAGATAATCTGTCTGCCTCAGGACAACTGGAGAACAGCTATAACATCTTCCAGGCTCTTGGCAGCATTCAGAAATGACTTCATGTTTTTAACAGAGACAAATTAAAATTCCTGATCTCAAGTGCTGCTTATATTCTGGAGTGACTGATCACAGAAGTTCTGGTTGAGTCAGTGCCTTCAGTTTACTTACCCCTTTAAATCTTTCCTGCCCATTTAAACCTTTCCTATGAAGGTTGACAAAGACTGGGGAACCAGCTTTCAGCATTACTTGAATTTTTCATTGTTGTTCGATGGAAATTGAATAGATTCCTCAGAAGTGTCCTAGAGCTGGGGACATAATCATTCTATGTAGAAACAGAGTGGGATTTAGGACTAAGTCAGGAAGTGTTCCTGTACATCTGGAAAGGGGTCATGCAGAAAGCGCTTCACCTCCTGTGAGCAAAGCAATGCAATACTGTAGATGATCGTCAGGTATCAGCTCTCACATCACTTAGAAATACAATGACTAAGAGTTCACTGCAAGCCTGTGACCAGAGACCAAAATTAGGAGAAACAGTGGATTTTTTTTTTTTTTTTTTTTTTGTTTGGGGGTGAACTGAAAAACCAAGAACGATTCTGGTTTCACTTGAACCGAGACAGCATTTTGTGATGTTTTGTTTCTAACAATATAGAAGCACTGCAGTTTGAATCTCCTTGAATTAGCTTTCTAACCATAAGTGTTGTGCTCTGTCTTCAAAATATTTGGGATTTTTGTAAAAGATAAAAGGGAAAACCCATGTTTATAAAATAGAGTATTTTATTAACAATCTTGTCAAAACAACATGGCTCTGAACATATTCCCCATATGTTATTCAGCTAACAGTGTTCCCTAGATGTCTTCTCATTTAGCAGATAATTTTTCACCCCTTGTACATATTTTTCTGAGTAAATTTATTTTTTTAAAAAAACGACATGACCTCAGGATGTGTCTGGCAAGGTGGTTTTAGTAGAGAAAGGGAAGTGCTGGCACCACAGCTAGCTAGAGGCATTGGTTTGCTGTTCTGCAAGGTACCAACTGCAGTTGTTCAGTGCAAAGAAGTTGATTTAAATTTGAGAAATTGCTGAATGGTAAAATATAGGGAGAGACTACCTTAAGAGGACACAGGAAGAGTTGCATTGATTTAATGAGATGGAGGTGGGGAGACAAAGTGTCACCCCTCTATAGAAACAGTCAGGAGAAACTGTCAAGGAAGAATAATCATTATTTTCCTTCAATGATAATACAGTTATAAAATGCATATAAATTGCACATTAACAAACTTAGGTTGCAAAGTTACAGGAAGAGTTCAGTCTATTAAAAAATAAAATAAAAAAAAATCTGGGATAACTTCCCAAATAGTATAGTGGCAACAGAAAATGCTCCTGGGTGAGTTTGGGAGGTGTGGAGAATGACCATACTGCTGAAAATACAAGATTGTAAGATTGATCCTTTAGTATTTGATGTACTGATACCTTCAAGGCAGGTTGAGACAATGCCCAGCTGCTGCTTGTTGATCACATCTGGTTGCCTAGTATTTATGTGAAATCAGCTGCTTTCCTGATCTTCAGAAGCCCTGCTGATTCCCTGCAGGGGGCAGGTCTGTTGTTTCACCTGCCTTGGGTGGGAGATGAGGTGGGTCAGGTCCATTTTGCTGCCTGCTGCTGAAGCCTGACTGAAGAGGGTTTATTGGTGACCTTTTTAGTGTTCCGGGTCAACTTCCATTGTCAGGGGACTGGGAGCTGCTGTCCCTTCTGTGTGGAGTAGAGGTCACATTTCTAATGGGAGTTTCACCTGTATGGGAGAGTCAGACCTGCAGATAATTACAGGGACCTGGGCCACTAGCAGTGCCTGTTGTCTGCCTCTGTGGCACATATGTGACTCCTAGCCTTTATTATATTTAAGGTTTGCTGAGGGCATGGGGATGCTTTGAGCCTGTGGAAAGCAAAATGTTCTTCTGGAGCAACCATCGTGGTTAGGCTGCTCTTTAAAGTACCATCTATGTCTGAGCTCAGAAGTGCTCCACACAAATAAGATCATCTGGGATGTGTTTTGTAAGCCTGAAGAAGATTGGAATAGGCTTTGAGCAGTCTGGTCTAATGGGTGGCATCCCTGTCCATGGCAGGGGAGTTGGAACTGGATATGTTTAGGTGCCTTCTAGCCCAAGCCAATCTATGATTCTATGAAGTGTTACTGGGGCTATTAGCCCTACTGTCTGTGGATACAACTATTTCTCCAGAAATTGTCTGTATGCTGAGAAGGGCTTGGTGTTATGTCTACATCCAGACAAGGCATTTTCAGGTTGTGATGAACACTGTTGTAACTTATGGGCTTGTCATATTACATCCAAGTGTCTTTGCTGATTGCTTTTGACTTTGGAGAACTCCAGTTAGCTGACTTCTACACACCATTATGTTTAATTTTAAGCTTAACTTTCTGAGTATGTGACTTAGCTAAACTTTTCTGCCCTGTCACGATGTATTTTGGTAACAGGCCTTCCTACTGAACGGTGACAAGTTTTCCACTTCTGCAATCTCCATGCAAGCAGCAGAGGTTGTATACATGTAGAGGATCCATCCTAGAGAATGTGATGTTCTTTTTAAGATAGCAACAACTTTCATTATAATTGATGGGCCCTGAAAACCAAGTGAATTTCCTGATGGATCTTAAAGGCTCACTCTCCCCAGCCATCATTCAGTTTGTGTGATCACCACCAGGGGACTGCTTACAGGGGCTGTGGTTGCAGGCACTCTGAATACCACCTCCTTCTCTGAGACATTGCTTGTCTGTGACATAAGCAAGGCCTTCCTGTCTGTTTCAGTTCTCTACATCTACACATTATAGGTGTGAGGTGCCAGTAAATGCTTCTTCATCTCCTTGCAAACCAGTGCTTGCAGAAACTGAACTGTGTATGCTGAGGTGAGAGAGAAAAAAAATAGGAGAGAACAGTTAGAGGGAACCATTAGACTAATATCTGATTTCAGGTGTACTTCTATTGCACAGAAAGCTCCAGGGGACTTAGTACCTGCCAGTAACCATGTAGCTGCAGTGTGGCACAAGAAGGAAAAACATTCTCAAACCTCAGTGAAAATAAAGAGCAAGATGGAATAAAGTTCTATTTCTAATTGTGTCTATCTCAATGTTCTCTCTCTCTCTCTAGGGCACTCAATCCCTGTGGTCTCGGTGTCTAATGCTTTCTTAAATTTTTGTTCATTTGTTTGTTAAGGTTCTGATATTGTGCAGTGGCTTATGAAGAACCTCAGCATTGAGGATGCAGGTAAGGTGACCACAGCTGGGGAGAAGTAGGTGCTCCATCTGTATTGTGTGTGTCATTAGACAGTAAATGCTATATTGCTGCAGTCTGAAATTCCAGTAAAAGAACGTGGTTAAGTGTTGGAGGGAAGGAGGAGAAAAGAGTCAACATCTTAATTAAGTCTAATGCCTTACAGTGCAACACACTGAAATACCGTTGCAGGAATTTTAGCCTGTCTGTGAAACTGTTGCTACCTGCAGAAGACTGATTGACTTCAAAAAGAAGTTGGTGGATGTGTGTGGTTAAGCAGGCAAATGCAGCCTCAGGTTTTCATGGCGTGAAGAAAGGTAGCCAGAGCTGACAGGACATAAGTGTCTGTGTCATTCTTGGCCAGGGTCATAGAATCTGGTAGTGGTTTTTAATTTATCAAAAAGAGCAAATAGATAAATCAGCAGGTAGATAAATGGATAATCAGCCATGAAGAGTGATCAGTGCATGGGCACAGTCCAAATAGTTCACTCTTCAGATAAACCAAAATCACTTAGGCAAGTGAAGACCTGTTGAGAAGGGGAGAAAAGATCTGCAGGTCCAGAAGTTTCTTTTCAGGAAAGGGAGAAAATCCAGAATCTCCCCTACCAGTTTTTAAGCTGCCTTACTCTCACCATGTAAAAACAGAGGTAGAGGCACTGTTGAATCACCCAGCAGGGCATCCCTGTTCTCAGATCCCTTCTCATGAGTCCTGTCAGGTCCCAGATCTGGATTTCAGCTGCAGACAACAGCTTTATTATCTATCTGGACATGCATGAGTAGATGATTTTTCAACTCTGTGAAAAATGATGCAGTTTCTGACAGCTGGCATTGCTTGAAAATCTGTGCAAATGTGCCTCTGCATTGGGACAGGTTGCCTGGGCAGCATTAGGATATCTAACTCCCCTTTGCCACATTTTCTCTAACAAAGGGCAATGCTACAGTGCAGGGATGTGTCTTTATGACTAAATATCCTGCTAATGAACTGGTGTTGCAGGTGCTTGTTGGCTTTGGTAGAAGCAAGTGAGAGTCACTGATGGAACAGGCTTCCTGTCAGCTGTCACCTGTGATGGATAATGTACTTTGAAGTGAATTTCGTACTCTAGAGCTGAACTGGTGTATGTATTTTGTAAACAAAAAACTAATGGGTTAAACATTTGAGCAGTGCTTCTTCTGTATTGTAAGGCTGATTTATGCACTCCAGCTTTGCAGGGTTTGGTTGGAAGTAGTAGGGATGTGGTGTGGGTACAGAGAGGCATGTGGGCACCAGATTTCACATGAGTCATCACCAGAGCTGCAATTGAAAGCAGAGAAACGTGCAGTGCACATGTTGACACATCCCTGCTGTTTTTTTCTCTTCCACAGGGGAAGCAATACACTTGGGAAGTCTTATTGCTGCGCAGGGTTATGTCTTTCCAATCTCAGACCACGTCCTTACCCTGAAAGATGATGGGACATTCTATCGTTTTCAGGTTGGTGAGCACCCTGACTCCCTTGTGGCCCCTTCTTCTGTCCCTGCAGTAATACTGCTGAAATCACCCACTCTTTGTACCTAAACAGCCATTAGGTCTGTGAAGCCAGGGATTGATGCTATCCTCATAGAGGCCCTAGGAAATTATGAAGTCCTGTCAAAAAAATTTGCTTTAGAATCCTAAATCACTCTCATCTATATTCTTAGTTTTTCACATAATTGAATGGCTATGTCTTGTGACTATTTTTGATAGCTGAATCCACAGCTGTTTTACTCAGATTTGAACTAAACCAGGAGAAAGAAGATGGCTTTCAAGTACTGACTCTAATGCAGAATTAAGTAGTCATTCTCCTGTGCAAAATGGACCAGGGCAGACTTAGGAGCTGGACATTCAAGCTTTGGCACAGCAGAAAATTCAATTTTTTTTCCATCTCTTGCTTACAGATTGGTGTGGGAGAGGGCAAGCTTAAGGCTTTGGCTGTTCTACAAAGGATTTGTAACCTTGGCAATCCCCTAAACTGGGACATCTCTATCCCTCAGTGGTCCTGTGCCTCCAGATGTGCTGAATTTTTAAAGCACCCTGTGCTTGAGTTCCATGCCCTGTCCAAAATCTGCCACTGTCAACTTGCTAGATAACTGAGTGCTTGTGCTGCAACAGCTCCTTCTGAACTGATTGTGTAACTTCAGAAGAAGCAGTAAGTCCAAACTTGGAGTCTTACTGCCTTACCCTGCTGGCTGAATTTGTTTTTCTGTTACATGATCTCAGCCTACTGCTTTATCTTCCTTGTCGCCTCTCTTCTGTTCACCCTCCTGTTCCTCCTTTACATGTTTTTACTCTTTTTTAGCTTTTATTTGAAAAGCCAGTTCTGCTCTTCACATCTGATGTTGCAGCTGTTCATGCTCACTGCTAATGTGGTATTGTGTTATCGTATGTGACCAATGTCATGGTGAAAAAAGCCCAGGAGATCACAGATGTCCTCTTATCTCACCCCACCTTCTGATTACAAGGCATCGTTCAGACTCAGATTTTTCATTACAATTCCCTTTCTTTTCTGAAAGTCCTGATCCTCCTGTCATGTAAGACACAACAGAAGCAGGGGTAATACTGGTTGCTATTTAGCTGTATTTTTCTGTTTCAAAAGAATGGCACTCTAAGAACTTGTCCTGTGCAGTTTTCAGGAGCTACATTTCAGTATAACGTAATTTATTTTTATTTTTTTAAGGCTGTGTAAACCACATCATCAAACTGACTGCTTATTGACTTTTCTTTCCTTTGTCTTTTCTTACAATTTTTGCATATTCTTTGCCTGTTTTCATTTCCTCCAACACACCACCTTAGCAGTTTTCTGCAAAAATAACCTGATAGGATCATGCTTCCTTTCCATTACTTGCTACTTGCTCCTTGCTACTTTTTACCTCAACATGGTCTGTGTGTTAATGTCCTATGCCCATCTGTAGCATTACATCAGTAGAGCAATGTGTAATCAGTAAAACATCAGTGTTCTGCAATTTGTGTGATCACCAGTATGTTATTTTTCATTTATGTTAAAACTGAAATACATATAGTTATAGCTTGTAATTAATTGTAGCAACTGCAATATGCAGACCTGGACAGGAAACAAAAGCACTAAGTTTAGCAGGACTTCTGCTTTCAGAATGACTCTAAACAGCTGAGTTTTAACCTCTGCCATCTGTTACAACTAAAAAGGAAATTGTTTTTTACTCTGCCAACCGCATTGGTAGCTGCTCCAGAAAAGCAAGGGGTATGTAGCATATAGATAAGACCAAAAGGTTTGTCATGCGCTTAAAAAAATGAAAATATTCAGGTTGCCTGTGAATTCCTGGGGAAAGAGGAGGTTCTGCGGATAGTGGATAAGAAATCCACGTTCAGATGAGCTGACAACAGTGCCTGAAATTTCATCAGGACACTGGACATCCTCCTCAAGAGGTGCTTGCATTACAGCATCTCTATTTACCTGCAGTGAGGAACATTAAAGGTTTTTGCAGCATCCTCACTTCTCCTGAAGTCTGTAGCAGTGTTTCCCCTGAGGGCAGAATCTGGGTGGTAGATTTTGTGATTCTTCTTTTTGTACTTGTAATGTTTTTCTGCATCTGAATCAGTTTTCATCTCTTAAATTACAAAAATGTGTATTTTTTTTTTTTTAAGGCACCATACTTTTGGCCTTCAAACTGCTGGGAGCCAGAAAACACAGATTATGGTGAGAGTATGATTGTTTCATTATAGAAAGTTCATTTGTGATGCAGAATAATTACTGTTGGCAATCTACGCTGTTCATGTGCAGAGTTTCTTGTCAGACAGCAGCATCAGAGGCGCAGATATGTGCCCATTTCAAATGCACAAATTGAAACCCTGGGGTGTCTCAAGCCCATGGAGCTGTAGCCATTGAGCTCAGTGGGGCCAGGATTTTGCTGTTCGTTACCTTCATTCTCCCACAGCCCTGTTCATTTCAGCAGGATTTGTGGCAATCAGAATACTGGTTCTTGGGAATCTTAAGCAATGCTAATATTGCTTTTGTGGGAGACCATCCTCTGATCTGTTGCTGAATCTGTTTTGCAGATCAATAAAGTTTACTTCATCTGGGCACTTATCTGACTGATCAATAAACCAGTACATAACTAACAGCAACCCATGGTTAAAAGTTCTCTGATACATGACATCAGACTTAATTTTGCATTTTTTTAAGATTACCAGATGATAGGGTAAAAGAGAAGACTGAGCATGGTTTATGAGCTAATGAAGTGCAACATCGTGTTTTAAGCATGTGAGTGCCTGCAGACAGGGATAATACATAAAGAAAATATGTCAGTGTTTTTATCTTTAGCTGTCTGCATGCAATATTGCTGTCTTTTCCAGAACTGCACTTCTTTCACAGTTAAATGATAAAATTAATTGTTGCATCCTGGTGTGGCTTTGGAAGAGGAAGCAAATCCATGTGTGCAGTCATAAACCAGGAGCTTCTGGAGGTCTTATATCTCATAACCTAAGATTGGTTTAGAACTCCTCCCGGAATAATCAGTTTGGGGTTTTTCCTTCCCATGCAATAATTACTCATCATTATGGATTCTGGAAATCATTTGCTGGGGTGAAGAAGTAGCCTGCAATGGTGTGTGTCATGTGATAGTTCGTTTGCAGTACTCATTTGCAGAGGAGCTAGCACAGACTTACATGTTAATCCCAGTGAGGGAACTGCTCAAGGGAAAACATGATACTTTTTTGTATTTGCAAAAAAAATGTTCTGATTTTACAGTCACCCTATATCACTGTGCGAATTGTGCCTAATATGTATTCTGTAAATACCAGAAAAATAACATGAAGAGAGAGGTTCTGTTTTTTTCCTGAATATCAGATAATTTGTTTTGGCAGGCAGATTATTGTGCTGCAATGGAATTGAGTGGAGCAGTACACCCCAAAATAAAGCCCTCTATGTGCTGACCCACAGCTGGACAAGCTTCAACTGCATTTGCTCTGAGCCCTGTAGTGACAGATTTTCATCTGTCCCAGAAACCTCTAACATATGCTTATAATCAGACTTTGCATATCTGAAGCCTGTACAGATGGAGTCTTCCCAGGAATTAATCTAGCAGTAGACCCAAATAAAACTGAAATCCCAGCAGCAATTCATACTTTTTTTTTATTTGCATGTGTCCACTTACAGGAGAGGAACTAACTTGATAATGGCAGGTCAGTGCCTTGTATGAAAAAACACTGTGAGACAGCTGCCTCTCACTTCATTTGGTGTCTTAAGTGCCTTACAGAGGAAACTGCCCTTGAGATGTGTGACTGTAAATGAACTGGTCAGCTCTGGTTGCAATGTGTAATACTGGCTCATTAGATGAATGTTAAAATTACAGAAACAGCATAGAATAGAATTACATGAGTAGCACTGGACCTCTATTAAGTTCAGACCTGACTGCATACCCAGAGTCTGCTGTGGACCTTGTGTTTCAGCCTCTAATGGAAATGGGGTGATCTTAGCAGATCCAGGTGGGGCTTTCCCAGAAGGCAGCCTAGGACTGGTTTGGTGATGTGCACTGGGCTCATCTTGACCCTCAGAATCCCAAACCACATCGGTTTTACCAGCCTCTGCCTACAGTGAAATGTGACCAGGCTTCTCTTAACCATTTGAAATATGTAAGAATAAGAGGATGGAGCATATTAAAAAATGCTCAGATCATGCTTTTAAGGTGGCCCATATTTCTGTTTTCACTTCAATATCCTGATATATTTTTATTTTTTCTTAGCAGAAAAGAAATGCAGGGATGGTCACTTTGGCATGTGTATTCCCAAACTGCTTATGGGAATAGGTTGCTAATGCTATATATTTTACCAGACCAAGAAGAAATTGTGCCTTTCTTGGACATCTTGTTAGGTCCTGGCATCCACTCTCAGCACTTTTAAATGAGGTGTCCCAGATGTTTAGGGCTTCTGAGATTAGTTGTAAGCCATGTCAGCTGGGTGTCCAGCCCTCTCTCATTCCTTGTGTTGCTTTCTGATGAAAACAAGCCCTCTATGTACTACTTTTTTTTCCTTCTTTGTTTTTTTTTTTTTCTTTTTTAAGATCTAGCACTAATAATCTCTCTGTAATTGTTTTCCATTCTGTCTCTCCCTTTAGCCATCTATCTTTGCAAACGGACCATGCAGAACAAAGCGAGGCTGGAGCTGGCGGATTATGAAGCCGTAGGTACACTGCTGCTAGAGTTTAAAGCTGGGGGGTGCAGGGATAGCTTGGCTTGCCAACTGAATGCTGCCATTTCGTGCTTTGGGCTCAGCCTCTACTGTATTTTTTTCTTAGTTGTCAGAACTGTGTGAAGGTTGATATAAAGACACCATCAGGAACATGACTGATGAATGTCCCTGGCTTTGCAGTGTCCCACATTAAAGCATCTGCTGTATAATGAGCCCTTCAAGATTACACAGAATTACACAGAAGTTTAGCTTGGTGTCCTGTTTTTAGTTAGGAAATCCTGGTTTGTATAGCAGACTTCAGCACAGGAATATGATGGATTTTCAGGTGTGCCATTGGGCAATTAAATTTTGTGACACAGTTACAAAAGTTCTTAGATATTAGACTTGGAACATTTTCAATATGCTGTATGAGAAGTATCACTGAACTTTATTTAGAGCATGTTTTCTGATATGGAGATACTATCAATAAAAATATCCCAGACTTGGGTGTGAGTCTGCAGGGTGGACAGGAGTGGAAAGGTAGAGGCAAGAGGGGCAGGGCTGTGTGTTTCTTCAAATATCAGCACTTTGAGCAGCTAAACTTTTCTTTCTGTCATATTGACTTTCTTCTGTTTACTTGCTCAACAGTGTAATAGCAGAATTTTATACATGGAGTTTTTCATTGGAGGGTTTATTAACAAAGTTGGTTCTAGTAGGCTTACATGGTCATGTTTGTTACAATGAAAATATGTATGTTGCTTATATTTAAGGGTGGGATTTTTTTTGTTTTTTTCCAAGACTGAAGTTTTTCCTTCTTCCTTACCTTCTACATTTTGGAACATTTGTGCATGTGGAGAGATTTGTTCATGCCATTTCGTCCTTTCAGTGCAGAGCATGAAAAAATTGCCATTCATCTAGTCCACCCTGGAAATGCATTCCAACTTCCCAAGAGTTCTAATTTGAAACAGGCACAAAGGAAGGAATATAACAACCTGCATGCACTTACATGTCCTTTTGCTGAGTTTTCTCTTCTGCATATTGTTGATTTCATTATTAAAACCATTAAAATTGCTCACATCCAATCAATTAACTGTAAGTACTCCAAAGATCTATCATAAAGCAACAAAAGGCTGTTCAGCGGCGCACATACTCCCACACACATGCAGTCAGGCTGTGGCTAAGTACTTTTGCACATTGTTGCCTACTGAGAGTAGCAATGCTCCAGTGATGGTAAATAATTAGATCTTGGCAGTCTCTCTTTTTTCCTGTGAATATTGCATTGCACAATTAGAGGTTACTTCTGCATTCAAACTTTGTTCTTTTAATTAGAGACATTCAGATAAGAATGGCACCAACTCTTCCTAAGCATTATGGGAGCTGAAGCAGATCCAGCAAGGGATGTTAAGCTCAGCACAAGTGAGAGAAACAGGCTTGCAGGAGTGAGAAGCAGCCCTTCTCACATTTTTGGAGATGCAGCATGAGAGTGCTTCTCCATAGGTATCAGCAGTGACCTGCAGCTTCAAGACAGACTCTCTACAAAGCATCCTGGGGGGACATTTCATTTTTAGGTTCTGCTTGCAGCATTTACAGACAGTCCCACAGCCCACATTTATACTGATTAGAACAGGGGTCTTGATGTTACGATTAAGCTTGTATAGTTGCATTCAGGTTTTTTATAATTGGTCAAACATAAGCACAATTCAACTATAGCTTCGGTTAGTGATGTTTCATTGGCTTCAGCATATTTACTCCAGAGGGCACATGTGAACATAATTTAAAACAAAATAAAAATAATGAAAAGAATATCCACAAAAATTTGTGTTACAGATAATTACAAGTTGTTCTTCTTTGTAGCCACAGTTAAAGAAATCATCATGGTTCAGTACAGCTGTAAATCATTTGTTTAACTGTTTTCCTCCATGTGTACAGGCTGAAACTGTTACATGGACTTGATGGTAACAGGGCCAAGCTTTATGCCTTGTGTTATACAAGAGTTTAAAGTAAATAATAGGAAGATTTCTTGTTGCATTGAAATGCATGTGCCTGAAAAACGTTTCTTTAAATAAAGGTGATAAGTGTAAAGAGAACAGGAGTAGAACTACAAGTGTTTGTTTACAATGTAAATTTGAAACAGTTAAAACAGCTGTAGTGGAGAAGAGCAGCCTGTTAATTGTCTCACAGACCTCCTTTCTTGGGGAGGGTATGGATACGTAACTTCTGGGTGCCATTTAAGCCTGAAATTCCAGCCATGTTCTGAGTTTAACCCTGAGCTGTGATGAAGCCTAATCCAAAGGTTCAGATCACTGCACTCTCTCTGTAATGGGTCTGGACCAGAGCTCTTACCTCAGATGTAGAGCAAAACTGCATCTGGAGCCATTCTTTGCAGTAACTGTGTTCATTGTTCAAACAAACAAGCTATTTCCTTTTGTGAATCATCCTGGCAATCCCCAGCCTTCAGTACTGTGCAGCTGCATAATGCTCTCAGCAGTGACCAGGACTGAGCAAGGCAGGGGATGCTCAGGCTTTGCACCTTCACAAAAGCCTGAAGAGAAGAGAACAGTGCAGAGAGGAAGGGAAAGTGAGGATGAGAGGGAAACGTGCAGCTGGCAGCCATCTGCTATCAGAAATGAAAGTCATCAGCTTCACAAAGCTTCTCAGTGTTATCTTTTGGGAACAAGTCCATAATTTTTTTCATACTAGAGCTCAAGCTGTCTTCATCACACTCCATTACTTATCCCTGGCAGGGCCCTTTGGGCTGCAGCCCAAAAAGATGTGTTACAGCCTTGCTTTGCTTGCGATATAGTTCACCTGAAACCAGCATTGACTTCCATGTCTTTAGTTTCTCAGTTAAAAAAAAAAGAAGTAATAAAATAAATAACCCACCATGCTAAATATGCTCTCAAGCAATTGTTGCAATTACAGAAATTAGTTGCTCTAACTGTTTTCATCTTTTGACAGGAAAACTTAGCAAGACTTCAGAGAGCATTTGCAAGGAAGTGGGAATTCATCTTCATGCAAGCAGAGGCCCAAGTGAAGTGAGTAATCCTGGAGCACTGAATTGCACCAGTATTTAGAGCTGTGAAGGAAGGGGATTCTGAGCAGATAAAACTTCTTTGTCAAAATCTCTACTGTGACTAAGCTCAGAAGGTGTTGGTGAATTTTAATCACTGGCAGACTAGAAACAGTAGAGAGCCAATTCTGAAGGTCTGTGCCAGAAACTGAAAGATGGGTTTAATTATCTGTGCATGGAAATGCTGGTCCGGAGCTCCTAAGCCTGTATTTGCCATGGGACCTTGGGTAATTCACAAGCCCATTGTGCTTCTACATTTATGTAGTATTTTTTGTTTTGCATGAATGAAAAGAACAGAATTTTGTCATCTGTCTGTGTTACTCTATGCTTGCACAGTATTTCTGCGTCTAAAAATACTGTCACTTCCACGTGATTGTAAGGGTGGTGTTTACAACAGGTATTTCTTCTCATCTTCCCTTGTGAAAGCAGTATGAAGCCTCTTAATGTTTTGAGTGTGTTTTCATTACTGCTGGTAAATGGATATGGTCCAGGGTTTGTGTACTATTGTCTACAAATGAATACCTAAAACTGAGTGTCCGTTTTGTGCATGTCATTGTCACTTACAAAATGGAAAGGTTGGTGAAAATGACACTTGAGAACACCAGTACCAAAAGCGTTCCATTGGAAGGAATTTGCACTTTCAGCATTAGATGCTAAAAAGTTAAGGAATATCATTTCTTGAAGGTGTGGCTTGAGGTATATGTCTCTGTCTCTGATTAACCCTTTGGAATTTTGATGAATTCTTTGCTTAATACCATTGCAATTATGAACCATTTAAATATATGGTAATTATCTTTTAAATTACAAGGTAATTAAGGGATTTTTTTCCCAACCAGAATAGCAGTGTTCCATTTGGAAGAGAAAATTAGAACTTAGGATAGCAATTGTACTTTCAGTTACTTATAGGCTATTGCCAAGATGAAAAAAAAAAAGTGTAAGTCAAAACAAAAGTCTGCATTCTGTCTAAAACACATAATTATCACCTAAGAAAGAAATGTAAATATCAGACTTATTGTGATCTTTGTTGGTTATTCATCTTTTCTCCATTCTGTTTTCTTTGAAGCATAAGCATGAACTGGCCACTATCAACTTTTTTGCTGTGTAGTTTCAGCTTCTTTGTTCACAGTTCATGTGATGGTTCAGTCTTCAGGTTACCAGAAAGGCAGGGATGGAATTCACATTGTAATTCACAGTTGATTAAAAGTTTAATTAACTGGAAAAGGGGGGGGGAAATCAAAAATACCTGAAAACATTCCTGCTGCTTACCAAGTTTTGTTTTGTTTTCCACATTTTTCTTTGCACAAAGGATTCCCATTGCTATACCCACATTGCTACAAAAACTGCAACTACAGAGTATCTAGCTGGTTTGGGTCTTCATAGTTTAAAATGTGAAATAATGAGCTATCAGTAAGTTTGGAGACAGGAGCTGACAATCTCGGTTGAGCACAAAGTGTCAGTGAAAAGAATCCATGAAGCCTCCAAATAGTCCCTCCAATTCGTGTGTGCTGTGTGGTGTAAGACTGGAGTAGGCTTCACCTTTCCCTTTGGCCAGGTGTGAAGGACTCACTCAGAAAAGTAGTTTTGGGCTGGGTGTTCTCAGTGTGGTACAGAAGCTGCTCTGGCTTTGTGTGAGGACAGAGCTTGTGCCAGAGCTCGGTGCTCATCTCAGCCTTGCAAGGGGTAAATCAGCTAGTGATGCTAAACGGTGGAGAATTTGTTTTTTTTCTGGGGAGGGGTGTTCAAAAACTTCAGTTTTAGTCCCCTGATTCCTATCCTCTTGGTACATTTCTAGCACACACTTAGCCATGAATCACTGCCCCACAAAAACAAAAACAGATGGGAGAGAACTTGGTGGTCGGGAATCACCACTGGCGTGGGTTTTTTTTTTTTCCTCGCTGTTTTCATTTTCCTGGTGGCAACAATGTGGGAACCCATCACAGGGACACTGAGCTTTATTCAGTCCTGCTCTGGCAGCAGAGGCATGGAAGCTGTTCCATGTGCTTCCTCCAGTCCCTGTGCAGGTAGATCTTGCAAGCTGGTGCTGACTTTGTGCTCATGTGTAAATCTGGGAGAGGTGCCGGATGTCACCTGCTCACTGCTGCCAGGAATAGCCTTCTACAACCTCCAGTGGCCTTTGGGCTGTGTGCTTTGAGTGAGTTGGTTCACTGGCTGAATCGGGGCTGGAATTTCTGAGTTCCTGTTGAGCCAGCCCAATCATGTCTCTCTGGGGCAGGTGCTGGCTTGTAGGGGCCATGCAGCAAGCTCAGCTTTGGTCACCTGTGCTGTCACCCCTTGCTCTGCCAGCATGGGGGCACACGGGCAGAGCCAATTTTTGTGGGTTGAAAGATCTAAGGAGGAGTGGCCACAAGTGCTGCCCATGCTGTTGGGAATGTCTTGGATAGATTCCTTTGAAATCTGTATTCATGCCAGTGGTGCTGGGCACTGTTGGGGCATTGGGGTGCAATGGGGTCTCCTGGTGGGAACCTCAGTTCAGCACCACCAGAAGCCTCACCTGGTGCAAACAGGCCCTGGTGGGTCTCCTGACACAGGCAAAAATACAAACTTTCCCAGCCTGTCAAATCATAGTATGGGAACATGGTACCAGGAAAAGTTTTCCTCACCAGATGAAAAACAGCTGTTAAATTTTTCCACATTAATAGGAAAATCTCTTTTGACCCATGTTGGAGTAAACATCAGTGTTATTTTGTTCATGGTATGTGCCCATGTGAGTGTGACAAAAAAAGTTGATTTCTGAAACTTTTTGTCTTGTCCTACAGCTAGGAACTTTATCAAAGAAGAAAGCATGACTTGTACGTTGACTCATATTCATTTATGCTTTTGTTTTCAGAATCGACAGGAAAAAGGATAAAACGGAAAGAAAGATTTTGGATAGCCAGGAGAGAGCATTCTGGGATGTGCACAGGCCTGTGGTAAAACTATTTTTGAATGATGAGGTTTTGACAGGAAAAGTTTTATTACTAGTAAATGTTTTATGCACAAAGATATTACTTTTATAGTCACCACGTGGATTTTCCTCACAGTTCAAAATGCACCATCTACAAGATTGAGACATTCTGGGCTTGTGTACCTATGGAACTATTGATTTGGAAATATATGAAAAATATGAACTTTGGAAGATATTTACTGGGCTTATGAAAGAAAAGCAGCTTACTCAGTTTGTCTCAAACTTCCTGGCAAAAGTTCCCCGATTAGTTATTTTCTTTTGGTGCCAAAGTTAGAAGTGGATTGAATGCTGACATGGCATCCTTGGGTATATGCAATCTCTTGTAAAGCAAGAGTACTTTATGGGACACAAATCTCAAGAAAGATTTTTGGACAGGATCTAATAGTGTATTTTATAAAGGTAAGGTAGGATGAAGATTCATAATGGAGGAATAACACAATCACCATCTCTTTTTAGCCAGGTTGTGTGAACACCACAGAAATGGACATTAGAAAGTGTCGCCGTATGAAAAACCCACAAAAAGTGAAAAAGGTCAGTTTGAGCTCCTGGTTTTGGTTTTTGCTTGTTTGGGGTTGGTTTGGTTCACTGTGTTTGTTTTCTTTTAATGTAAATCATACTTGACACCTACTGTATAAGAGATTTACCCAAGAGGAACAAACTTTCAGTAGTATGAGTTCTGTTTTGTTCTCCTTGGTGAATTTATTATTTCTATTTAACAAGCAAAGTTGTGCTGGCTGGGTGGTGGGTAGAGCTGAGAAGGGCATTAAGGAGCTCTGTGTCCCAAATGTCTGATGGCTCTGCACTCTCATAAAATGAAAAGTAATTGGCAAAAATACTTAGGTCCCTTTTTAAGAAATTACCTGGGCACAGATAATGAGATGTTTACCTGCCTTAATCATTTCAAAGGCTGGATCATTAGCAACTTGGGTGTCTTTGACTTCCAGCAAGTTTGAGCACTTCTATGTATATGAAGTCATAGAATCAATTCGATTGAAAAAAAAAACCATTAAGATCAGTGACTCAAAACCTTAACCTAACCAAGTCCTTCACTAAGCCATGTTCCTGTCTTTTAAATAATTTCAAGGATGGTGACTCAACAACTTCTCTAGGCAGCCTTGTTCCAGTGCTTGATAACCATTTCAGAGAAGAAATTTTTCCTAATATCCAGTCTAAACCTTTCTTGGCACAGCTTCAGGCTGTTTCCTCTTGTCTCATCACTTGTTATGTTTCTGGATGGAACACCAGACTCCTGAACTTCCATGAGCAGTTAACCTGCTATTCGCATGTCTATTGGAAGTTTTACTGAAGAGAAAAAGCACTAAAGGAAAGGGCAAATTATATTACTTTCAGTGCAGATGTCTGTCCTGAAAATGAATTGGCTACAAGTCAGTCTGCAGGTTTTTGTTTAGAGAAGTTCACATGAACTTGACGCATTCACTTGACCTGGTTAAGAACTTCCTTCAATATGTAGTTTTACAACAAGAAATTTTAAATCAAGTGTAACACAGTGGCATAGAATTATTCTCTAGTATTTTCCTTTACCACTTAGATCACCCCAGTGACAACTCCCAGCGTTCATCCTACACAGTGTTAATGCACACAGCCTTCAGAGCTCCTAAAAATTATCAGCTGCATTTTAACATTTAAAACAAACACTTCTCTTAACATGCCTACAGGCCTTCCAAGTGCAGGCATCAGCAAGCATGGTCTGATCTGTAAATTTTGCTCCAGGCTGAATGATTATTCACCTGTGTGGGTATAAAGAGTAGGAAATTGCTGGCTTGTTACCTTACTGCTTTGCATACTGCACTGTTCCTCATTGTGAACAGAAAAATGCTGTAATCTCTTCTGTTTGTTCCTTGGTTCCTCACAGTCAGTGTATGGGGTTACAGAGGAGTCTCAGCCCCAAAGCCCTGTACACCTGCCCTCCCAACCAGTGCGCAAAACGACAAAGGAGGATTTCCGGAAGCAAGTAAGTAGGTGGCTGCATGGCAACTCTTCTGAGAACTGCTACCAGATAAAAAGTATAGAAAGTTACTGAGATACCAGCAAAACCAGTTGTATGATTTACCTGTGCTTGATCCTCACATACTTATCCTTGATCCTCACTTATGTAAAGTATTAGTGAGTATTCATTGAGCAGTGCAGTTGTATGGTGATCTGTGTGATGAGTAGCACTGACCTTTGAATCTGCTGTTATTGTCTATGGACCAGACACAGACAATAAGAAAATAATTCCAGTTCACTGAGGATGTCTGAAAAGTGGGCAGTGAAAAAGGCCAGTGTAGCTGGGCACAGGCTGGGGACAAGTGGTGAGGAAAGGCATCATTCAGTGCAAGACTGTTATGCTGTACAGTCAGAGGTTTTAGGACGAAATTATTTGGACAATCATGCCAAGGAATGACCAGCCAACCCACACATCCTTGCCCTGACACAAAGAGCTCTCCCTCAAAATTACTTCACTGCAATAAGCAGCCCTCGCTGAAAGACAAACAGGAATTACTAGATCAGCATTTTACTAAAGGCAGCTTTAAACAAGTTTCTTAGGCAACCAATTTTTGGATGGTTTTCTGAACTAAACCTGGATGCTGCATTTCTTGAGCTTTTTTATCATAGGCCGAAGGACTGGTTGATAGCAGAATGAAAGTGTGTTGTAAAATGTTACTGGTCTTGTCATGCTGGTCAGTAAGAGAAATGGGAGAGCAGAGTGTGTTTGTAAAAAGGAGATCATATTGTATCCTGAGTAGTCTAGGAACCTTGGTCCCAAATACGTGTCTTTTCTACTTTCAGTTATGTCTTCTGAAGCTTCCCCTAGGGCTTTGCCTTTGGCAATGGAGCCTCCTATTGGAAGCAGTTAATAAGCTTCTAATACCTAGGGAAGGGTCCCGTTTCCTTCTGAGTTATTTTCAAGCTGTTTGGAAAGAGAAATCAATAGTGTGTTGGGATATTGTCAATGCAAGCTGCAGAACTCATAGATTGTTAATGTCCTTGTCATCTCTCTCCTCAGATAACTTTTCTGAACATGCAGATAGAGAGACATTGTTTAAAGATGTCCAAAGTAGCAGAAAGGTGAGTGTCTGCATTTGGATGATTTCCCATTCTTTCCTCATCTCCAGTTTGGCATTTCTAGAAACAGAGCAGGCAGCAAAATACAAAGGCTTTTGACCCCTTTTCCGTGCATCAATCCTTTCCCCTCCTTGACCAGCTGTGCTGCCTGTCTGCTGGCTGCTGACACTTCTGTACTCACTCTTCTGCCACTGATCAAAAATAGGTGGAAAATGAGGACCTGTAATACTGCAAAAGAAAAGAAGCATTCAGAAAAGAAAAAAGCTTGTCAGACTTGTTTCCCACCCCTTCACTACCCTAGGGTTTATTTTTAGAAAAATCATTCCTGTCTCAATTTGAAAATAACCTTTTTTCCCCTTTTTGGCTGAACTCTCAGCGCTCATCTCTTGTTAGTCTGGGACAGCTCTGGGGAAGGAGCTGTGTTTGCATTTGTTGCACGTGGTGTTCACATCTCTGTTCATACTGGGGTTGTAGGACCAGTTCCTGCTCCCACTTAGATGTATATGAAACCCTTAGAGAAGTTCTGGGGTTGTACCTATACTACTCAAGGCACTTTTTTAAGGAGTGGATTTCTAAGAATCAAGGCACAATTTGACTTGCAGTATATTTAGTTTTGGTAGAAAAGTATGAATAGGTGAAGAACAAGTCTAAATTTGAGTATGACAGCTTATTTACTTATTTACAAGTACCTACTTGTAAGTTACGTGCACTTACAGGGTAGTCACTGAGATGAAGGTAGGGATAGCAATGCTCTTCAGTGACATCACTTTTAAAGCAAAACTGTGTTGAACATGAGGGATAGGATAAGAGCTGGTTCCTTCCAGAAAAATAATAGAGGAATTTTTCTTTAAGCAGAGTAAAATGGGATTATCCCATGAAATGTGCTTTGCAGTGCCTGCACCTGTAGTTAGCATGCATGTACTAAACTAGGTAAATGAAATGGTGAGAGGACCGTTGTAAGTTCCTATTGGCTCATGAAATTCAGCAATTAAAATGAAAATGTATCAAATTAAAGAGAAAATATTCAGAGGCTCCCTGAAATCCTGCATGCAATACATTGTGTGATTGAAATGAGCACATTTATGTTTTGGGCTTTTGGATCTTTTTAATTACGAACATGTACTTGTACTTTAACAAAAAAAGTAATTGTACTGAATTTATTTACAATGACCATAATATAGTGAGACAGTAATAATTTTCCTGGTTTGAAAGGGCTTTCTTTTTTTAACAATTGCTTTCAAGTTGAAGAAGAAAATTTTGCTATCAAAACTTGTGCAAAATAATAACCAGGAAAAAAGCAAATAAACTGAGAACAGTCAAATTACAGAATCGCAAAATAAGCTGAGTCGGAGGGGACCAACCAGGATCATCAAGTCCAACCCCTGGCCCTGCATAGGAGATCACACCATGTGCCTGAGAGCATTGACCAAACACTTCTTGAACTCTGGCAGGATTAGTGTTATGACTGCTTCCCTGGGGAGACTGTTCTAGTACCCAAACACCCTCTGGATCAAGAACCTCACACTTCTAAATAATTATTAATAATTATAAAGAATTAAAATTGTGGTTGTGATCTTTATATCTCGTGAGGAGGTGTTTGGTCATGTGATGCCTTTGAATATTGATTTGAATATTGGAAATATTGAGAGTCCCAGGATTTGGTGTGGAGAGTGGAGGGAAGTGCAGTCTGGATGTGGAGCATTGCAGAGCAGGTAGGAGGGAGGTAGAGGAGCTGATGGCTCCGGTGGCTTCACCCAGGGGTGAGCACTGGTGAGAAGGAATGAACATGGATGACCTGACTTGCTCAATTGCCTGAAAAAAACCCTGTGCAGCCTTGAAAGCCCCATTAAAATACTGATTACAAGCATTAAGAACAAATTTGCTGTGTAAGGAAATGCTGCTATTATCAAGTCGATTTTCAGTCTGGACCCTGCTCTGGGGACAGTTTAGGTGACAGTGTGGCAGATCAGGGTACAGGAGATGACTTCTTGGCATGCTCCCTGCAAAAGTCAAGCCTGACAATGGCACCACCTGCCAATTTTTCAGTATAGCACAAAGGCACTTGCAGAGAGAATGAGGGAAGTAACAAGGAGCAAGTAAGTCAGGAAGCGCTAAGGCAAGCAAGTTATAGGAATAAGATATAATCTTTTTCAATAGTAATAGGTAAATTGTATTTATTTTACATTAATTCACAGTATTCTTGGGATAGCCCTTGTCAGTCAGAAGAGGAAGGCTCTCCAAAGGATATCTCCAGCTTCTGTGAGATAAATGCTTGCTGCTAAAGATTTTCTTCCCCTGCCTCCCTGTGCTGCCTCCAGGAGCAGATCTGTACCAGCTGTGGGAACAGGCATCCCTCAGCTGCTCCACACACCTTGGAAACTGTCTTTCTTCCACATCCTTCCTCCCCACTTGGGACCTGCACTCTGTTGGTTTTAGCCATTGAGCTTTGAGAACTGTTGAGCAAAACTAGCAATATCATTCTACCTATTGTTTTCCCTGACTGCACTGTGCAGTGCGAGTACAATTGCATTAGACATGGCATCACTGAAATGGCTGGGAAAAAATGAGCATCTTCCTACCAGAAGCAATCTCAGTTCCCTAGATGGAAATCTGTGCTATCCTTTCAGCTTCTCATCAAAGTTCCTGTGAAGGCTCAGCAGGACCCCTTGATTGAGAGACAGTTGGGTTCTCAAGGCAAGCTCTGCACCCTTCAGTCAGCTGTTCCCACCATTTCTTCTACTGGGTATTCAGTTTATCACCCAAAAGGCCAGGTTTGCATTTTGACAAAAATGCTTTTCCTTAGGAGTCCCCCGCCTGTAGCCTCCTTTAGACAATGAGGCAATGATTCTGCTGCTGCCATTATACCAAATCAGCAAAATGTGCTTAGAAATTCCCCCTTGTTTCATTTTAGTTTTTTTTTCCCCTTTCCTTTTTGCTAGTACTTGTACTAGCACCACTGATGCCTTCTTATTATTTTATTAGGAGCAATTCAGGTTTCACAGCAGATATCTCCTGATTGATCCTTTTTGGCTTTCTTTTCTTTTTTAACCAACCCTCTCTTTCATTGATGTCTAAGGGACTGCTGCTGCTCTGTGAAATTGGACACTGCTCCCTCCTCCAACCCTTGACCCACAGCACTCGTGAAATGTAATTAATGAAATGAGATGAGACAGCCCTGAGTGCCCTAAGGGGCAATGTGAACCTACTGTGGTTACAAAAGTGTATGATTTTAATGCCTCATGATAACAGCTAGAACAAACAAAAAAGAAATAATTACTGTAGAGCAGGTCAGGGAAACTTTCTGCCTTTTATGACCCTTTGTTTCGCAGGGTCTTTTCATTCGCCTGCCTTTTTGAGATGTGTGGAGGACCAGTGGTAAAGTTTAGCATGGACAATCACAGTGCAGGTACATTGGTTGTTGAGTATGATGAGACATAATTAATTTAGTTAATTACTTGGCAGATGTAGGCAAAAATAAATTGCATTAGAGTATTTCCAATATAGACTAGAAGAAATTTCTTTTTATTTATTTCATATTTTCTGTCTTTCTTTTGTAAAAATGCACCCCTAACCCCAACCCCAGTGGAATTCCTGAATCATTTATGCAAGCAGACACAGTCCTTTTCCCAGAAAGCTCTTTGAATCTTATCCTAGTGAGGATTAGAGGCTATATGCCTTAACTGACTCACCATGAAGAAAGCCAGTATAAAGGCCAGGTGTTTTTCCAACACACATATAATTTACTATAGTCTAAGGTAATTATTGCTTGTATTTTACAAGAGTGCTGTTAGACTAAATACTACACCAACAAAACTAAAAAATTATCTATAGGCAAAGCTTTGGTGCTTAGGACCATGACCTCAAAATATTTAAGCATATTCTTACCTGCAGCCCATGACCCTCTTTAGGTGAATTTCTCATAGTGCATAAATTTATGTGTGTACAATAGTTTGCAAAAATTAAAAGGATGAGAGGCAGTAGTAACATGCAGCAAATGAACAGGATGATGCACACTTCACATTCTTCCCATGGCTCTCTGGGGAAGTCCTGCCATAGCAATCCAATTGTTGCCTCATCAGGTTTTTTGGGGGCATCTCAACAGAGACAAGCTTGAGGAAAATGCTGCTGTTGAGGAAAATACTGCAGTGAGCGTGTGGGTGTTTGCAGAGAAATCCTTGCATGCATCATTCCTGGGAAAAGGATCTCCTGTGGTTGCTGACTAATCCCTATAAATAAAAAGAAGCACACACAAAAACAAAACAAAAATCCTACCAAAAAAAATCCTACCAAAAAAACCCCCAACAGGATTAAAAAAAAAAATCTGTACCTCTCTGACATGACTGAGCATTCACACCTTTTCATTATTTTTTTATTTCCTTTTTCTTTTTACCTGCCAGTTTAATAGCCTACACAGAGCAGTATGTGGAATATGACCCCTTTATAACTCCTGCTGAGCCTTCCAATCCCTGGATAAGTGATGATGCAGCATTGTGGGACATTGAAATGAGGTAAAAAATAATTGTTAGTTTTAACTAATATGAAAATTGTCTTGCCATTTTGTTTGTATGTTCTTCACACTGCCCTGTTTGGAAAGGAGGTTGTATGTCTGAACTACAAGATTCAAGAACATAGCTAAAGTCTATCACTGGTGTCTGAATTATTCAGCCCTTCCACTTCCATATGGCTTGGTGTATGGGACTCTGTAAGTCAGGTAATGGATGTTCTCAAACCTGTCAAGCACATGTGCACACTCAGGTCTAGGAGCCTAAAGCTATAGGATACTGCTAAGACAAAGTTGTTCCACACATCTCATTTGACCATTGGGAGCCTGCTCTTCCCCAGCTGCAATGCTCCAGCCCTGCTTCTGTCATGGAATCCCATGAAAGATGCTGCTGGCAAAATGGGATGAGTCACAGAGGAGTGGCCATTCCTGCTGTGCAGAGTGAGTTTGGCACAGGAACCAGAAGAATGTGGCTCACGTGTGATGTGTGAGACTTGGCTCACAGAGCTGTAATAGGTTGATAGAGTCAGTTCAGGCCTCACCTGTTGATGAAACAGCTGGTTTGTCTCTGTTATGGTCTCAAATAAATGAAATGAGGGAGGAACATCCGTGGGATATTCAGCACCTTGCACCTCAGAGAATTTCTCAAAAAAACCCCACCCAAAACCCAAGCAGAACACTGCAAAAGAAATCATGTTTTGCCCATGTGATGCCGCTGGAAAGGAAGTCTGGCCTGTGTCTGTCTCTTGCCTTCACAGGCTATCCACAATCCTCATAAAGGGGCTGGGATTGTCCTGTTTGCCACTACGCCTTAACAGCTCCCATAGCAAATTTGAATGGAATTACGATATTGCATATTACCTTCACTATTCAATCACATCCTGCGGCCAACATCTGCAAGGGCTCAGCAGCTTCTGCAGTGTTTAGTTGCTGCCATTTGGCACCGAGTCTGAACTTGGAGTTCACTTTAGCAAATCTTTGTTAAGAGAATGCCAAATCTAATCCTGTGTGTTCCTTGAATAATAATTTAGAAATGCTATTGGCCTAAGAAAACTGATTCATAGGAAATCAGTGTTCCAGGGAAAGAACAAGACTTTGCCCCATTAAAAAACCAAGTAGTTTGGGATGTGAAAATTGTTTTCGCCTGCTTCTCTGGTAGTCACAGAAATACATTATTTTCCTAACCTCTGCCCCTCTTCACATAGTTTTAGTATTTGTTATTTCTGTTTTAGCTAATTTCTCTCATTTTCTCCATCCTCCCTAGTAGGGCTAGTGCCAGATACAGCCCTTGCAAAAAACACTTCTCTGCAAGGTAATCCAGGCATCCATTATTTCTGCATCTGTTGACATGGCTGCAAATCCCAGAAAAGATGTCTGTGTCCCTGAAGAATACAATTAACCTGATGTCACAGCCTTATAGGAATTTAAAATAAATGCTTGGCTTCTGCTATGATTTCAAGTTAAGGAAGGTGATTTTACTGCAGATGAAAAAGAGAAAGCTGTAGTGTGAGGAGATGGAAGAACAAACAGCTCTGTATTTCCATTTTATTCTCTATTGTAAAAAAACTAACTGCATCTGCATCTAGTTGCAACTTGCATGAATAATTAAATGATCCCCAAGATCCCCTTGTGTTGCTTGCAAAGCTGTTTCCTCAGTTAGGAGAGCAGAGCCCTTGCACAGGAAAACAAAGAGCCTCTCACTGCTAGTGGCAAGGCTGGCTGCTGAGTATGGGCAGCCCCATGCCACTGCAGTTCATCCTCCATGGAAATCAGGACTCAGGAAACGTCACAGAAAGCATTCCATTTTAGACAGCACTTTGGCCTTTATTTTGTGTGTGCTAGAACATTGTGTAGCTGCAGGAAGAGCAGGTACAGATCCCTGGATTAAGCAGGAAATTCCCTGATCTTAGATTGTGCCTGGCTCTGCACAAGTATGGCTTTCCCGATGTCCAGGCTGGTTCACATAACAGGTAGGCTGGATCTGCACCCTTGTCTGCAGCACTGCTGGCTCCTGAGGGAGTGCAGGAGGAGCCATCCCGAGTGTGCTGCTCCTCGAGTGAGGACATGCCTATCAATTTTGCTTAGCCTTTACACCAAGAGAAAATGAAAGCAGGCATTCTATTTACCCCTTTGGCTTATTTGTCTTTAGCACAGATCGCCACTGTCCCCTAAGGCTCCATGGTTAGGAATCGCTGTGGACATGACGAGACGCACAGTTTAATAGATATGTACTGTTAACAGTGGCTCTGCTGTCACAAATATGAGCAGCTGAGCTGTGTTTTAATGGTTGTCTCATAGTATGACGCCATCACACCAGAAGCTTTCAAACACTTTGTGAGCCCAGATTACGCTCTGATGCAAGGCTGTCTCATAGGATCCTCGTTGTGATTCCCGGGCACCACCTCTCCTCATAGGCATCTCTACAACATGTCTGGCAATTCAAACAACAGCTTATGTAAGTTGGGCTGTGTTAAGAAATAATTAAGGAGAAAGGTTGCTAGTGATTTTGGGTGCCTCTGCATCTCATATCCCACAGCAGTATCCCAGCTGAGACACAAAAGTCTGATTATCATGGAGAGTAGAAGGAAGATGGTTTTCAGTCTTCTGAGACTTAGGCATGCAAAAATCAGAGGCATAAAAAATAAAAGACCACAAACCAGTAACCATTTTAGATACTTTGTCTGCACTGCTTCTTAATGGAACTGCTTTTCTAATGCAAATGTGGATCTGAAAATCTGAAGCCAGTTCCAAGTGACCAGGCAGCACTGTGTGGGACACAAGAAAATGCTCTGGAGCTGACCAGTGACCCAGGGAACATTGCTGGGAAATTTCTGCCTTAAGAAATGCGTAAGAAATCCTAAGGTACATTTAAGGAGATATGCAAGAAGTGCATAATGAATAATCATTTAGGCATGGTATGCTGTTCTTCAAATTAAGCCTACCAGAAATTGCTCTGAAAATCATATCATTCATGTTCTCTCTTTGTTTCACCATATATGTAGCCCCCAAATACTGTCCTTTAATGATTCAAATGATACAATGATGTAAAGTCCTCCCTTTGCTTTAATGATGACCCTTGTCTTTATAGGTTTTTATGTTATTTTCTAACTTATATTTGTGAAAAATCTTGAGAAAAAAACAAACAAAACAACATCTCATCTAATAATCTTCTTCCCTTCACTTAGCAGAAACAGCAGCAGCTGCTTGGACAGCAGGCAGAGATGCACATTCCATCTGTTTTTCCCCTTCTCTCTCCAAACAGCAAGGAACCTAGTCAGCAGCGTGTGAAAAGATGGGGTTTCTCCATGGATGAGGTGCTGAAGGACCCAGTAGGACGAGACCAGTTCCTTCGTTTCCTGGAATCAGAATTCAGCTCAGAAAACCTCAGGTGAAACCTTTCCTGACTTGACTAAATGAATGGGACTGATCCTACTCTCTTGCGTAGGTGAAATGAAAGGTTTGGTGTGTCTTGAACTGATAAAAACACCCATTTGAATAAAGATGAGAATGGCAGGATTTGGCCCCCAGCACTGCTACCGATGCCTATACTAGACCTATGTAAGTAATCTCAGTGTTTAGCAGAGCCAGTGTTATCAGGTATCTTCTGCATGCAAGGGCTTGCAGGCTTGTATGATGTGATGAGATGCAGCACATCACTCCTGAGCTCCCTAACAATATATCGGATTTACATGTGTCTTTGTGGCAGGGCTTGTGTGAGGGACAGAGTGTGGTCATCATGTGGCTAAGAACTGTTGCAGTATTGGCAGTCACCAAGTCAGGTTTGCAACAACTGCTTTTAATTTTGGCATGTACTAACTATCCAACAGCTTGTCTCACCTTAACAAGACTCTGTTTGTGGGGATTCTGAGTACCTGACTTCTCAAGTTGTGAAGAAGTCAAAACTTTTATTATGAAAAATGATGTAGATACCCATGTGATCCTACATCAAGCTGAGAGCCAGTAAACCCCACTTTTTTTACAGTCTGAGTTACACTGCAGAGGCTTTGTTGCAGTGCTGTGCTTGTGTCTCAGCACATGGATGGGTAAAGGGACTGGTTCTTGTGGGGGTTTTTTTGGGGCAGTCATTTTCCAGAAGGCCGAGTGAACATTTGCAGGGAAGGCCAGAGAAGCTTGCAGGTTCACTGGCAGAGCTGTGCCTGCTCCTGGGCGGAGGAAATCTGCTGTCAGTGATCACACAGTCAGTCTGGCTTTGGTCTTCGCTGGTAGTGAGCAGGCTTGATGTTCTCTTTTTTACACCAGATAAGAACCTGATTGCACAACCTTTTTTACTTCATAGTTTTTTCATTTCTTTTTCACCTAGAAAATCAAATGCATTACTAAAGCATGTGAACAATTGTCTCTGTAGTGCAGTCTACCAGCCTACAAGGTCTGAAAGAGGAATTCCCCAGAAAGTGATTTTTAATGACATTGGAATTTACTATCCTATTTATCTGGTTTCCCTGTCCAAGGAGAAGTACAGAAAGCATGCCAGCAGCAAAACAGTGGAAACTCAATACACTACATTGTTTTGCAAAACCTGAAAGATAACCTGTAAGAAAACAAGGGAGTGTTACTAATTACATAAATGAGCTTGAAATTTTATTGCTAAACAAGCCCTGAACTTGCATATGCTTACTGCAGTTATGTACAGTGGCACTCATTTGCAATTAAATTGTAGTGATGAAGTGCAAAATTAATATACTGTATTAAGATACTCTTCAAATGATTGTTCTGAAATAAATCTGGTATTGTGCTAATGAAATCCAGCAGGTTTTATGACTAGTGTCTGTCCCCCATGTTCATCCTACTCAAACAAATGGAGAAAATTTGATTATGAGAAGAAGGCAAACCTGTACCTTCCTTGGTCAGTCAGAGGTGCTTCTGTTGATGCACATTCTCCTTGATCTCCTTGATAGTGAAGGGAGATGTCAAATCAGTGGGCTGGCACAGACAGGTTAAATCCTGCATCCTTTGTGGAAGACATGGACATCGTTCTTAGTATGGGAACTTTGCTGTCATTCTTATGGTATCATTACGATGGTATTGGCTTCTGTGGTAATATTATCTCATATTGGATACAAGCCTGCTTAAAGCTTTAAATAATAAGATGCGAAGGCAGAAATATTAATGAAGAAAACTGGAATAGAATGGATTGTTAGCAGTGATGCTTGAGAGAAGAAGGGTTCGGGTGAGGCAGAGAAAGCTCCTTAATTCTCACTGGGAGTGTGTAGCATAAAGGAAAGCAGCTGCTGGATGCTTACATATCCAAACAAAATCTAAGTTACATTCAACAGCAAAGTTGGGATCTGCCTCACCTAAGCTGACAGCTCGGAAGCACATGCTTGCTTCTTATCCAGTCTCCCTTTAGAGAGAGAGAAGAGAAGCTGAGGAGGAGTCAGTGAATCACCTGAGAAGGATTTGTTTCAGTTTTAAGTGGAAGCAAAACCAGACACCTAAATTACATTGTAAGGTGTACAGTTCTTTATTTATGTTATAATATTGTATATAAATATATTAAAATATAATACTAATATATTTATATAAATATGTTATACAGTTTTTATTTATGCTATCATAAGCCTGTACAGACTGATGCAAATGAGTGTGCATGGCAGACAACTACAGTTAAGTGAAACACATCCCACCCTAACCCTGGGAAGGGGTAGAAAACTCTCTGAGAGTTTAGCATTGAGCACCTCTGTTGAAAAGTAACATTCACAGTTAATCTTTTCAGGACTCTCTTCCCAGTAACTAGCCAGAGATCTTGGAACTGTTGCAGATGGGACATGTTATCTCTTTGGAGTAACAATAGGATTTTGGGAGTGTCCCTAGGATTAACACTGGCCCTATAGGCCCCTGTGTTGTATCTAAGGCAGATCTGAGAAACTGACTGCTGGAAAACCTGGAAATTGATGGTAGCACTAGAAAAGATTTTGTAAAGTGTGTGCTTGAGAATGCCTTGAAATTAATGTAATTCAGTAATACAGCAAGGGACCAAATTCTGCTCTTACACCTTGTGGTGTGAGTCCCAAATCACAGGGCTGGTCGTGGTGGGATATTTCCATCTCTTCCTAGCTGAGAAAAATTGGTCCCACTGGGGGTCTTGGGTGAGGCACTGCCAGAGATAGCAGCAGACTAGACTCGATGACCTCCCAGATCCCCTTCCAGCTGTGTTTCTGTGTTCTAATAAACTTGCAGGATCATGTCCACCAGTCTCCTGGGCTCGGCTGAGCCCTGTAACTTACTTATTTACTGGCTGTCCATTATTTATGTGGGAGCAGGAAAGACAGTCAGTTGGGTATATTTCTCTCTGGTTTTATTTTAACTCTTTTCCTTGCTCTGTTTTCTTTCTCCTCTCTGTTGTTATCTTTCATCTACAATTTGTTTTGACTCTTGTGATTTTTGAAGTATATTCAAAATATAGCAGACAAAATGCCAAATTTAAAACAAAATAAATAAGAAAGGATAAGAAAAGAAAGTGCATCAGAGAGTTATTATACATTTTTTATGACCTGGGAACCTTCTGAGACATCTTGAGATTGCTGAGATTTTCATTTAGCTGGTGTGTTGAATTTTTTCCCCCCCAAGTTCAAAGAGTGTCAGCTGGAAAGAGAAACAGCAAAGGGGGAATATGGGACATGGGAATTCCACCTGAAGGGAAAGGAGGCTGCACACAGTGGGAAACACATGACACTTTGTGGGAATGCACTGTGGAGCTGGCAATGCATGGATGCAGGCGTCCTGCACCTCACTGTCTGTGAGCAGATGTAGAACATGGAGATGGCTGGAAAGGAGTTTTACCTGCAGAAAAGTGTTTATATCCTGTATAACTCCTAATGGTTGAAACTTGTCGCCAGTTTTTTTTTCCCCCAGTCTTCAGAAGGAAAGGAGAAGTTCAGGCAGTGAGAAGAGCTCGTATACGCAGTAACCACACCGAGCCACCCCAAAGCCCTGTGGCCCCTAAATAAAACAGCGTTTTCCGAGCAGTTCCAAGGCAGTGCCAGCGCCGGAGGGCTCCGCGGGGTAGCGCCGGGTGCTGCCGGGCAGTGCCGGCTGCGGAGCGGTGAGGGCAGTGCGGGGCAGTGTGAGGGCAGTGCGGGGCAGTGTGAGGCAGTGCCGGGCAGTGTGAGGCAGTGCCGGCCAATGAGGGCAGTACCGAATGGTGAGGGCAGTACCGAGTGGTGAGGGCAGTGCGGGGCAGTGTGAGGCAGTGCCGGGCAGTGTGAGGCAGTGCCGGCCAATGAGGGCAGTACCGAGTGGTGAGGGCAGTGCCGGGCGGTGAGGGCAGTGCGGGGCAGTGTGAGGCAGTGCCGGGCAATGAGAGCGGTGAGGGTAGTGCCGGGCAGTGCCGGCAGGCGGCGCCGCCGTCCCGCGCTGCGCGGGCCCCGCGCGGAGCCGGGCGCGGGCGCGGTGCCGGCCCCTCAGCGGGCCCGGGCAGGGCCGCACCGCACCGCGGGCACTGCTCGCGGCCGGCGGGCGCTGCCCCGCCGCAGCCATACAAGGGCTTTTCGGTCCCACAGCACGGAAAGAACTTGCAGCAGAAGGAGGGACTTGCATCGTGGACGCCGGCGGGCACCGCGGGGGAGGGGAGGAAGGGCGGTGAGGCGGAGGCCTGTGGGACGTTTCCCCGTCCCCACCGACACTGCGGTCTCCTTGGCAGATCCCCAGTGCCCCAGCGTGCAGCTTTGCAGCGTCTGCCTATTCCCAGCTTGCTCACCAAGGGCAGGTTTTTGTCGGTCTTGGCCATGCCAAGCTCACCATGCCAAGGATCTGATCATTAAACAACACAAAAATGTGAATATCGCCCCTGTCTGAACTGCATTTTGATTTTTACCTGTTGCTTTCATTAATTTCCTGGCTGAGATGTTCAAAGTTATTTCTTGGTGAATGGAAGAAGATTTGTGAATGGATAGAGCTGTGAGACCGGAGGGCTGTGGGATACTGGAATGGAACTACTGAGGCAAGGACAGAAGTGTGCTTGGATTCTGACCTCAGATAGTCACTTGATAAATTCACTGTCAAGCTAGAGGTATTGTGTCCACCCCCAGGATGGGGATATGCCACTGCCCTTTATAGTTGTTTCTCAGTTTCTGGAATCACCCATATTTTATCTCCTGATCAGGATTTTAAATTAATTTTTGTTTTCTAATGTACCTCAGAAGCAAGCACTCCCCCACTACTCACCCTGTCTTTCCCCAGCAGCCTTTTCACTGGGGGACATCTTTGAACAGCACTGACCAAGCACCTCTGCAGTGCCCTGCAGAGAGTTAGAGCGCACGTGCTGAGGTCCAGGAGCTCTTTGTGCTGTGGGGGAGCTGTGGAGGATAAATGCCATTTTGGGATATCTTCTGCAAGTGACAGCAGTTTAATTACAAGCTGGATGAGGCTGGAACAGTTTATGCCACTGACAACACTTTAGGACACCATATTATCAGCCTTGTCCAGTCCTTACATGCTGTTTTACAAAGGACAAAGAACCTGTGATCAATGCTGCTGTTCCCTCTGGGCAGACAGTCCCTGTGCCAGTCCTGCTCTGCTTAAAGGGCATGTGTGGAAAGGACACACAAGGACATCTCTCTTCTCCCCTGCCCTGTGTAAGAGGTGTCCACTGGACATCTGTCTCCTACAGAAAGAGAGGGGGCAACACAGGATCTTCACCTGACTCCTTGTGAAATTTGGGCTGGGCTTTTGCTGTAGAAATTGCAGGAGTGATTCAGGGAGTGCATGTGCACTTTACAATGGAGCAGAAATTCCAGCACAGTCATTGTATGTCGGCTCCTTTCCTAAGCAGAAACACCTGCTTCTCTCTTGTAAATACTATAAATCCCATAGGAAGCCCTGCTTATGTATTAGTTTCAGGAGGATTCCTTGTGGCAGAGAACTTGCCTTGGAGTTGAAGCTGTGGGGCTGGGTACCCCTCTTTGATGTTACTTATTTTTCAGATGCCATCTATAGTGAATAGCTTTGAAATTTTTACCAAGACAAAACTCCCCTTTGCCATGAAGAGGACACTCAGCCTTGGCATGAATTTACAATTGCTTGCAGTAAAAGGAGCTTGTTCTTGTTACTGTCAGGTTGGTCTGGTTGGTTGGTTTTCAGATTGAGCCAAATGGTTATTAAAATGGATGGCGCTCCTGTTCTGGTAAGCTGTCACTTCACAGCGCTCCCAGTTCTCTCACAAGCGTGCTTTCCCAGCCCGCCTCCCCGGCTCCAGGGGCAGAAGATAAGCCAGAAGAAAAGGTTCTCTCTAGCCAAATGTTTGTCTGAAGTGTCCCAGCTACTCTGGAATGATTAGCATCTTTTCTCCCTATGCCTTTTTTGCATTCACATGTTCCCCTTACATCTGAAATTGAATGATAATGTACTTTCGAATAACAGAAGCTACATATGGCATCAGATTATTGCACTGTGAGTACTACCCTTTACTCTCTACGTGCATGTGATAAGTGGGGGTGTCACTGTTCAAATGACAAGGCAGGATATCAGGTGCTTAAACTGTCAACGATGGAAAAGGCCCAACCATGCACACTCCTCCACGAACCCCAGATACTCTATTTCAGTTTATAAAATCAAACATCACTCTGTTAGAACCACAAGTATATGACTCTACAGGTAATGATGTAGCATTTGAGTGTACCCCAGTCTGTTTTACGGAGTCTGCCAAGGAAATGGGAAAGCCATATGAAGGAATGTTGTCAAGTGGCTTGGGTGAGTCAGGGCTGTGGCATGAGACCTCCTGATGGTTGGAAAGAAGCAGCAGACAGCAAGGAGGATTTAGCCTGGCCTTGTATGTAGCGTGGATGTCACTTTTTCCCAAGCTGACTGTTTGCCTCTATTGCAGGTAGGATACCAGGCTACATGGGATAGCAGCCTCATTTGCTTGCAGTAACACCACCAGTTCCAGGGTGTTTAGGTACTGCCTGCAGCCATTAAGGAAGCAAGGGTCAGGAACAGCACAGGAGTCACCAGGCTGCTGTCTCCTCCACCCACCCTTACTACCATCGGGATTTTTGTTTGGGACAGACTCTTATCTTCCTCCTTCCACCACGGAGGAATTTTTGCCTTAGTGGCAGCACACTGACACCACTGAATCATTTGGGGTGAGAAATCAGGACTTCAGTTAAAGTTCAACTTGGTTTATAAAGGAGACACCAAATTTTCCAAGTTGTGCAGCTCTTGCGGATGCCCTGAACAAGCAGTGACCCAGACAATCCCTGTCCCCTCTGCACAGTCTGCCTAGCAGAGGGAGTGCATAAGAGGTAGCCGAGGCAAACCCTGCCCTCCTTGTCACTCTGGACAATGGGCACCTTTGCCGGGGGTAGGAAAGAGCTGGTTATTGCAGGTGGCTGCAGAGGTGCCTAATGTACCTGTTTGCCTTTAGCCCTCAGCACTCCCTGCAGAGCACTCTTGTGCTTGCAGGGCCCAGGTTTTCAGGGCAGATAACCCTCAGGGATACCTTCTTGCTGGAAGATAAGAGTTGACCAAAACAAAAGGCTACTGGGCACCGTGCATCTTCTGAATTAGTCACCTGAAAGAGCATCTCTTACAGCAATAAATAAAACTAGCACTACCAACAAAATGTCTTTTTTTTTTCCCAAGGGTAAAAGACAAAAGACATGTATGTCACTCTTGCAAAAATACTCTGTGGTCTTTTTTTTTACAGATTAAGATACGGATTATGTCCTTAGTCATTGAAGATATTACCTTCTCAGTGTTTATGAATTTAGTTTAGTCTGTAAGCATAGCCTACTCAAGAAAATATCCCTGTAAATTTGGAGTATGGCATGACAAGCGTCATCTTTTCTCATGACATCCATCCATCTGAATGCTGGTCAGTTTACAAGTAAAAAAAAAAAATCTCTAAGCGGTATTGCTACAACTTCACACTGGAAATTATATGAATGTTAAGTTTGTTCTTCAGTTTACATCCCCTGTGGATGACTGATCCTGCAGGCAGAAATGACCATCACATTGCAGTGCAGCTGTGGGAGGCAGAGCCTGCTCCTCTCCTCCAGCTGCACAGCTCTAGAGGTTTCCTGTTTGCATATCTAATATGACACTTCTGCAGGGGCAGTTTGAATAAGAATGTATCACTTCTTAAAGTCAGTGTTCTGATCTTAGCCAAAATATAAAGGGTTGATGTAAAGTACATCACCCCTTCCCCTTGAAATCAGGCTTAATTGGCATCTTCTGTGATTCTAGTAGATGCAGGATTAGGTTCTGTGTCTGTTTCTGTGTCTGTGAATAAGCCTATGCCTAGGCTTATTCACAAAATCTTACCTAGATTCCTATCTTTTTCTCTTTTCTGCCCTTTTAATTTTTGACTAGTACAGGTTTTGGTTGGCTGTCCAAGATCTCAAGAAACAACCTTTACAGGATGTGACCACCAGAGTGGAAGAAATCTGGCAAGAGTTTCTAGCTCCTGGGGCCCAAAGCGCTATCAACCTGGATTCCCACAGCTATGAGAAAACAAGCCAAAATGTCAAAGACCCAGGGAGGTACACATATGAAGATGCACAGGTTAGTTTTTGGTTTTGTGGAACTACTGCTAATGAAACTCTCAGTTTTAATATGATATTCCACTATCACATTGTCACTGCTCACTCGTAAGAAAGAGGAGACGCACAGTTTGAAGTGACTTTGACGATATCTATTCAAGCTGGGTAAATTATATTTTCATTGAATCTATCTATTATAACAGACTAAGGCTCCTCTGGGAACAAATGTTCCAAAATCTGCAAGTCTGCAAGGCGCTGCAAGCTGGAGCCACATCTCAGAGAAAACACAGATGAAAGTCTGCTATACAGTTCAGCTTGTCTGTCTGTGCTACCTGTCACAGAAGTCTGGCATATTTACAGAATGGCCAATGTCATATCTAAACAGTGGATAGATAATACACTTTTTCTATATCTTATTTATTTATAGCTAATTATATCCCCCTGCCAAACCCTAAATGCAGCAGCTCCCTCCAACACAACTAGAAATTTGTCCACCAGACAATATCTTAATGTAATGATAGGACAGTAGGCAATGCAGTGAGCTTAATCCTTCCCTCCTAAGGCTCCAGATTTATTAGGAAAATTTTACAGATAAACTGTACATGGAAAATGCCCTGAGGAAAACAGATAATTTGAGAAAACTGCTACAAGCAAGGGTAAAGCTGCATAACCTCCTGGAAAGTGAAAATATATTTTTCTAGTTTTTAAAAAAGAAAAAGAAAGGATCATTTGGCAAATATTATTAGGGACACAATTAAAAGATATCCTCCTCAAAATAATTTTTATCACAAGATGTAGTAAAACCAACAGCAAATGAAAATAATTCCTGGGTTTGGGGATTTTTTTTTTTAATTGGCATTCAAAGGCAATTCTTCAAAATACTCCACTAACAAAATATTTTCATCTCAGGGGAGATGTTGTGGACCACTTATACAAGGTTAGGCAATGAATTTTTTAAAACAGCATCAAATGCTCTATTTTCCTGAATGCAATCTTGCTCCTTGGGGCCAGCATAGAAGGAATGTACATGAAGTTTCAAGGCTGTCCCCTGTGAATATCAGGCAATTTAAATGCCCTTTTTAAAACTGAGAAATACAGGAGTATGAAGACATTCTGGCTAAACTGTGTTCTTTGCTTGGCATTTGTAGTGAAAAAGAACTTCTTACATCATCTGAAAAAAATGATGACTACAAAATGCAGGCTAAAGGAGATAGGTGAATAATGGGGGAATTGATTAAATTGAGAAGTAGAAGTACTAAGAATAAGATGAATGTTTAGATGATGAGTATTTAATTAGAAGAAGACACAGAGGATTTAGCCTTGAACTGATCAGTTCACAATGTAATTGCCATTCAAAGGGGAGTTGATAAAATCAAGCTGGAGCCCTGGCAGTTAGACTGCAATTTTAGCTCCTTGGGTTAATTTTATTTCAGTGGATTTTTACACTGACAGATGTCCTAAATTCATCTGTTGTGGTTCATGGACACAGAAATATGAGGCAAAGGTAGACCTTCAGGGCCAGCTATGGTAATCTTGGAGATTGAATCTATGCCAAGAGAGGATGGTGCAATGTGAAGTTACCTTCTTGTACAGTGGGTTTCTGGTAGCTCACCAAAAGCCAAGCAAACTGTGACAGCTTGACTGGATAGCTGGGAAGGCATTCTGACAAATGCAGGAAGAAGCAGGACATTGTTGAAGGGCCTAGTGCCCTGGTAGAGCTGGGGCAACATGGCTTTTACTGGCTCATCCTGGAGAAGGGACATTTTTATTTGCACGTGCACTTCATGGGAGGCAGTGTAGATCACCCCAGGGTGCTGTAAATCTCCCAGGTACTGCTGTAGTGTTTCTCACAGGTCAGCCCTGCCACCACAGAGTCTCTTGTCCATAAATCTGCAGCAGCTGCCTTATCTCAGCACTCTGGCACCAGGAGCCCATGGGAGCTTCCACACATCCCACATTCCTAGGGACCCAACCAGATACAATTAATCAAAACACCCTCTGTAGGAGGGGAAAATATGAGTGTTGTCTTGTCCTGTGTAGCTTTAGCACAAAGAGGAAAACAACTGAAATGTCCTTGTAAGTAAAGAAAAAGAAAAAAAGTTTACTCAACAGCACTTTTTTTGAATGCCTGCAGGTCTGAGACACTAAGAGGAAGGAAAAGTGTTGGCAGATCTGAGAAAATTAGTTCAATCCTCCTGCAGTGGAAGAATAGGAGAAGGTGATGTGGCACTCTAGTCATGACTTGGGAGATCCACAAAATGCCAATTCTGTATAAAAAGCACTGGAAACGGACACATTGCTGTACTTGGGAAGGGTAAGGTGTAGCAGAGCACATTCAGGCCAGCAAATGCTTTATAACAGGAAGTTGAAAGCAAAGCATCATTTGTTATCGGATGCTTTAAGAGTCTACATTGATGTGCTTCTTTGCACAACCTTGGCTCCCAGCCCCAGAGAGCTCTCCCAGATGCTGCTCAACCATCTGGTAAGGCAACTAACCTAGATAAAAACAGGGAGAAAAGGGTCTCTTGGCAAACATGCCTCTCACTTCAAACCTCTTTGTCCTTAGGCCAGTCACGGTCTGAAAGCAAATGGTTTCTCTGTTTAAGAAAATCTCAGCTCCAAATCTTAGTCCTCAAAGCACTCCTAATCCAAACCTGAATTTGGTGTGCATTTATTATTTCAGACAGACCTCTCTCTGAGATGGATTCTTGTTCCGTAGAAGCAAGTGTTTCACCATTTCCCCATCTCAGCTTGAGATGCTTGCCGTGCTGTTTGTCCCTCTGTGCTGCTGCACTTCACAGTCCTGCACTGCTGGGCTTGCACAGAGCTGCCCCTCTTGCTGCAGCTCCTGCAGGTGCCATCGCCCACCCCGTGCCTGGCTCAAGCTGTGCCAGCACATCTCAGCTCCGAGCAGAGTGTGCTGTGCTGGCTCAGCTGCACTCCCCTCCCCAGCTGTCCAGTTTGTTGGTGTCCCTGTCCTTGAGCAGCTCAGCTCTGTTCCTGGCTCTGTCCTTATTGTCAGCTCTGCCAGCTATCTTGGTCTGCAGCACCTTCTGTCATTTTAGTGCTGGATCCCTCCAGAGGGGAGCCTACCAATTTAGCTGATTATTTTCTGCTCTTAAACAACTGTCCTCTGAGTAAAATATTATGATTATCAAACCATTTTCACTGGGGACCAAAGCAGCTTTTAATACAAGGGGCATCGCCAGGAAAGGTCAGTTCAATTAAACAGTGAAGTACTTAGCAGGATGTAAGCTCCCACAGGAGTTATCAGCATCATTGAACAACCAGTATGGGGCCCTGCAATATGAAGCAGGCACCACCAGTTCTTGAAAGTAAATAGGTTTGGGTCCATCTGAATGGCCTCTTCTGGCTAATGAAGCTGCTGACAGCCAAAGTAATTCATCTTTACATGGAACACAGAGCTGTGAGTGTGACAGTTATGGCTTATCTGTGCAACACGTTATTAGTTTTTTAACCATTCTCCCCTATCAAGCATCTCCTTGCCTCCCTTGAAATGTCTTTCTGCCTTCAGAAAATCTTTAATCCCTTCCTCAGTCCCTTGGTGTTGGGAGCTAATATCACCAGGATGCATTGTGTTTCCTCACAGTAATGTCTGCAGGGACATTTAGCCTACATTTACTGGTAGGCTTCAGAGCCAGGTGTGCCAAAGTAAGGCAAGCCACACAGTTGTCTTTGGAATTCCTTTCCTGTTTTCTTTGTTTATTTTTATTCTTTAATAAATAAAACAGAGTTTTAGATTGACATTCCTTTACCTGAACTAACCAACTGTTGTTTCTATGAAGGTGATTCAGGGAAATTCAGTTCTAATCCAGGCTGCATATCCTTGGCTAATTCCAGGGCAGATTTAGACCATAATGCTAAATTCCAGGCAGCTCAAAACAGAAATGTACCTGTTCCAGCTTTGAAATATAGAATAATTTGAGACAGAAGGCACCTTTAAAGTTCATCTAGTCCAGCTCCCCCGAATGAGCAGGGTACATCTTCAACTAGATCAGGATTCTCAGAGCCCTGTTCCACTTGACCTTGAATGTTTCCAGAGATGGGGCACCCACCACCTCTCTGGGTGATCTGGGCCAGGGTTTCACTATCTTCATTGTAAAAACTTTCTTCCTGAAATCTAATCTTGAGATTTGAGCCCAGTTAATGCTCTCAGCTGCCCCAGGTATAGTTTAGTTTGTTCTGTGATAGAGATACGAATCCTTATAGGATTCATCAGCGGTCAGTCATCAGTTTGCATTCTGGTTGTTGAACTTGACTGGATCCTATTGAATTCAAAACCAAACTCCAAGTTCAAGCAAGGGTTTCTTGGAAGAGAAATGTCATTTTTTACCAAGAAGGGAAAGTGAGGGGTGACGCTATGTTTTCTAGCATGCACAGGATGTGAAAGGCCTGGTATCTATTCAGTGGGCATAAAGCACTCCATTTGTAGGTCTGGAACAAAATCATGGCCTGGAATGAAAATGTGAAAATAATCATTCATTGTGTTGGTATTATCTTTCATGTAATAACTTGAAGAAACATTATTCCTGTTTACCTAAAGTTTTGCTCAAGCACCCCAGTTGCTTTACAGTTGCTTTACAGTATGCCACCTTGCTCACCTTGCTTCTCACATTACACAATTACAGTGTGACTAAGGCTGGAGAATTGGGGTAACAGCAAGGCAACTCTGGTTAGCAGTGCAGGCAGCCAGCAAGGGGACATGGGACAAAACAAGGTGCTCTGCCTTTAAGAGGAGACCAAGTCCACCTGAACTAGTGCTGCTCAGAGACCTTGAGCCTGTACTGTGGGGAATTGAAAGCACTGCTGCACTGCATCAGTATTTATACATGAATGGTGTGCCTAGGGCTCCTGGAGGCTTTTGACAGCCTGCACCTTCCTGTGGAGGTTAAGGACTGCACAAGGACTTGACCTTTATTCTCTTCTCCTTCTTTGGCTCTGATTCTGTGGGTCTGGAGGAGAAAATCCTTCCTTACATTGTACTCTGGTTCTCTTCCTTGT